TTGATTTATGCATGGGAAATGGTTAATAAGCAGCTTCTTTGTGCTTAGAATGGTACTTACGTATTTAACCATTGACAATGAAAGTTGCTAGAGATACCACCAAACTTGTGCTAATCAATCATTCCAACAGAAATTTGATGAAACAGATTTCTCTTTCTTTAGTTATAATCAACAGATAGAAGTTACATATATGGAACTTAAATTTGGAGCACTTAAAACATATTAATTTTCAGTTAGGTGTTTACTTGTCGTAATTTTTCACAATGTGTTGTCATCGTTTATCAGTTTTCAAATGTCGATAATTGATATGTGTAAGCCATCCCGGCATTTATAAAAAAAAAAAAAAAAAAAAAAAAAAAAAAAAAAAACCTGCTAGCTGAGTTTTTAAATTTGTTGCCAAGCTGGCACGTAGAAAATAAGTAGTAACATCAATCTGACGTAGTGTGATTTGAAAACAGTCAAAAGTCGTTAATTCGGACATCCATAATCCGGAATGATCTATAATCCGGACTTCAAAGCTACAAATTTTCTGCACATGCGTCATGTTGGCGCATACATGTAAGACCTTTACGGCTGCAAATATGTGTGTGCGGATGTGCATGATACGTTTACGCATGCGGCGTTTAATGTATAACGGATGGTATAAGCTAAGCTAGAATTATCTAATTCAGTTAATGTTGCAGATTGCGTTGTTCCTAAATCTTCGAATTGGATCCGGCTTATTATTTTTTGCAGACTGTTAGAGCAATTTTATAAAAGTAAGCTTGAACTTTCAATTATGTCAAATAGAATTTCTGATATATATTTACTAATATGTAAAGGATCTACAAAGCGAAAGTATGTTTCGAAGTCCATTAAACCAAAAGTGGAATTGCTGCAAAAGATGGATAAAGGCATATCCTTTGTTTATCTGAACTTTAAAGTTTGTTTATCTAAACTTTGTTTATCTTTAACACACCGGCACGCAATGAATTGGAAGTTGTTTGCTAAGTTTGAGTGATGGATATTTTTTAATCGAAAACAAAATTTATATGGGCATCATTTTCATTCCAGAGATGAGACTGATGAAACTATAAAATGATATTTTTCATAGATTCCAAGAAATAGGTAGTCTGAAGCATTTAATCTTGGAAAATTCATGTACAAAAAAGCGTATTGATATTGGTGGGAATTTCCTTGAACACACCTAAGGTTTGGCAAGGTATACCATCTCAAAAATTTCAGACTTACCTTCATGTAAAAAAAACTTTACTGCATGTTGTCATGCTGTTCCATATAAGGTAGGTTCCAAATTTCAATAGTTTTTTCAAAATGCAAGGCAAATTTAAATTATACTGTTGTTAACAAAAGCTAAACTGATTTATTGAGGATTAATTGAGGTTAGATAAACTGAGGTGAAGATCTTAAGAATTTGTTGTGATGTCGCGTTTATCCATTATTAGCACTAAATCACACTGCTTGGCGATTTTTTGTTTGTCAAAAATTCTTGATAAAAAAGTATATAAGTACCTTTGAAAAATAAGCCCCAAAAATATTACATCCTGACCTGACAATGTCAAGCCATGGAATGCGAGTACAGCTTGAAATAACATTGAAAACAAATGCTAGTATTTTTCTGTTAACAGAGCACCAGTCACGAAAAGTCGTAGTCTATTTATATCGTGTCATGAATATCATGTCACGTGTAAAATGTTTAATATGCACAATACCAAATTGTGCAATTTTTTCTTTCTACTTTTAAGTGAAGACAGAATGCTCTGTACATGGGAATAACAGTAGTTCTGATGTCTACATTGATCTATTTTCCTTTAAAATCATCAGAGAATTGTACAAATTTGGCATCGTACAAAACTTCAGAATTGCATACATTAAGCATTTTATATGATATATTATTGTTATTACAAGTTCATTTTTTCATAAAACTTTGCATATTGTTAGGGTTGCCACCATCTAATTACATTTCACCATAACATTTATGTTTGGTGCTGTGTTAAGACGGAAGATTGCCCACATGCTCCACTGGATTCAACAATAGATTAACATTGTGATTAACCATCTCATCTTGTTAAAGCCATGCAATGAGATTCAGTAAAGGTTTTTTGCTATTTGTGGAATTCGAAATATTGGTAGGACACTGCTTAACCCCTTAACTGCCACGGGCGTATATATATATATGCCTTGCTCAGCCGATGCGTTAACGCCTGTTCAAACTACTATCATTTGCTTTGTGCTGCTACCCGTAAAATTAATTGCAAAGCTTTGGAATGCAACAAACACTACCATGATCTTGACAAAGTATGCGAAGGAGAATACTATTTCAGAGAAGTGTGGGGAGAAATTGGACAAGATGTGTCTAAAGCGGTGAAAGTAATGACTGCGTGGTATTGGCTGGTGTTGTTTGAGTAAAACATATTTTTTTTTAATTCTGTGTCCTCCATTTTCGTTTACTTTTTGAAGTAGGTTCCAGGAATAAAAAAAGATATAACAGATGTTTCAAACCCATTTATCTTTTTTGAATTATTTTTGATGAACTGCTCATGCTTCATATTGTTACTGAAACTAACCGTTTTGTAGATGAGTATATGAACCAACAGCTTGCAAACGAAAAATCAAGAACAAAATCGTGGCATTCAACCAGTTCAGAAGAAATATTGTTGCGTTTTTCCTTTTCTGACACCAGTTGTTGCGTTTTCTTCGTTCATGTTCGTACGGGGTTTGTGTATTTGGAGTGAATAACGGCGACACTTGATGAAGTATCGAAACACACTTTATTTAACCATTGTTAATCAGGACAGCTCTAAAAACACTTTTTATAGTCGTTGGAGATCTACTATAAACACGCTGAAACAATCAGTGACACAGCCTTCACACTGTCAGGCAATAACGGTGGAGACAGCTTCACTGCAAAGCATCCAAGTACAGCTCCCAACTCTGCTTGGTTGTTCTCGGAACTCCACGTACTCTCGAGACTTTCCACCTACAACTCGTGATGCACTTGACGACATACGAGCACAGCTCCCCAATTTTCGGTTCAGTCGTTCCCAGAGCTCAACACGCTCTCTGGACGATGTACTAACTGTGATACACTAAGAGACTCCTTCCGTGCACCCGACGACCCACTCGGCACTCATTGCCCGGCTGTGATCTCGATCGACTCTGCAGGGATTGACTCGCTAGACGAGGCTCACACACTCTCGATGAGAGACGCACTGACTGACTGCGGACCAGCAGGGTTTATATAGCTTTCGGCTTGTGTTCGGGAACATTATGCAGTAAACCGGTAAGAATTCGTTCCAGAAGGTTCTGCAACAACGTCATGGTAGTCGCCAATGGACGATTTCTTCCAAATGTGGCAACCGGCCCTCCTTGCTATTTATGGCAACCCCAAAAGCTTTGTGGGAGCCATCTCACGACGCCTTTTAATTTCGTAACAATATGTTTTTTTAGGTATATGATTTCGCAAGGTATAACACTGAACTGATATTACACTTACTGGTCTAAATAATTATCAAAACTCCATTTTAGGGATCTTTTTATTATAAAAACATCATTTTATGATATTACACTTTTTTATTACTTTTACTCAAAAATGAATTTGTGCATTCATGTTTATTTATTCTTTATTTTGTGAAAGTAAACAGTTTTTAGAAAGTAAAACTTGCACATATTTTTCCCTTAATACATCGCATAACTACATGCGCCTGTGTGAAAACTGGGGCACTGGGAAATGAATCTTGTGCGTTTTCCGCGTCAGTTAAGGGGTTAATAGGTTCACATTTGTCCTCAACAGTTTCAGTAATATTAAATAGTCAGATAAATATAGCTTGAATATCAGTAAAAATTTACTAATTATCGGAAATAGTTTGAAAATGTAAATGCATATTTTAACATATTAATTAGAAATAAAGTTACAAATTTTTTAAAAGTTCATTAGCAGTGAAAGGATGGCCTGCAGTTGTTATTGAAAAATCTGATCATAAATTCTTTATTTTTGCAATGTATCTAGAAATGTTTTGATAAGAATATCTAATCCTTAATCACAAGATGCAGAATGCCTTTCTAATCTCAACATTAACTAGGAATTCTGTGAGAATTTATTCTCTTTTATTTTAGTTATTTATTTTCACACAGTTTTTATTCATACAGGTTTATCATCTTAGGGAAGTAACCTAGAAGATAAATGCTATATTTGAATACACAAATTGCAGATGCATTCCTCTGTCATGAGTGCTGCTGGTGGTCTCATCAATTATCCACCCATATGCTTTAAGATTGGCATGTTTAAAAAATTTCTTTCTTGAGATGCAGTTTTAGATATATACAGTGGATGCAGCATGTCAAGAAAGTTAATCTTTTCTGTTTATTTGCATTTCCAACCATATCTTTTATTTTTGAATGTTCTAATACTTACCTTAGGAGTATGATATCCATTCACCACAGTTCTTTGATCATAGAGTTGTATTATTTAAGTTGTGTTTGTTGGAGAAAATACGTCAGTATGTTTTATGGAGATTTTTATTGTCATTTAGAATGATATGGTTTAGTTTGCCGATTCTATTAAAAAAAAAACCATCAACCTAAACCTCTCTCTCTCAGTGCATGCAAACAAGCAAGGCTTCAATTTGATGACAATAGCCAAATTGATAACATTAACTGCAGTCTTATTAAACAGCACCTGCATATCTAAACATATATAAATACTTAATAACTTAAAGCATACATTTTTTAAACTAGTGACCACATTTAAGCTAATAATGTTCAGAATCTTAGATTTCATTGCACATTTAATATACATTAAAATTTTACACCTATTCTTTTCTTTTATGGAAAATGTTCTTTTAAATAATTTGCTTCTTTTTTGTCTTACCTTATAAACAGGTGTGCATTTTAATTTTTATATTTATGCATTTGCACTTTTTATTATATCTCATTGAAACAATGGCATGAGATTTTAGAAGATGCTAATAATATTGTTTTATGCATAATGTAATTTTTTTCAGCTTCTTGTCATGATCCTAAACCATGTTGCAGTTATCATTCATCAAGAGACATTAAAATTGACAAACTGTATCGTTTCGTTAAACATATGGCTGTTAGGCAGAGTTCTTCATTTAAAGAGATCCGCTTCCTAAAGCAAAAGGTATTGTTTTTGTTATTGTAATTATTCGTTTTAATTTTATGAAAATCGTAGCTTTCTTATATATTTCATTCACCTTAGCATGAAATTTAACATTATATTTTATTGTTTATCTGTGTTAACTCTTAAATAAACTTCCATCTTTACTCTTATTCTAAAAATAGTCTGGAAATATATATAAAAAGTTTAGGCTATTATTCAAATTTTCTTTTATCTATGTTGAGAAAATAAATTAAGGATTTAATAATGGAGCATTTTTTTTAAGTAAAAGTCCATTTAGCAACAAAAGTTAAACATGTAATAGAAAAAAAAAAAAAAAAAACCTCTTCCTTTATTTGCATACGTTTCTTAATTTTTTTCACAATTCTAATCTTTCACAGTTCTTTTCTTTTCACAATCTTTATTTTATATAAACTATTTCCTTATCCACTTTATGGTCGTTGTACATTTTTCATATCTGGCAATAGTTGTTTACAATTTACATGCTTCTTGCTGTTACAAACTGGATGGTTGATCATATTCCACAGTTGGGGGGGATGCTCTATTTTCTTTAGCATTTGAACCTCACTACGTCACATATATAATGAATATAGATGGCATTAAATTCTGTGTGAAGAATATCAGTAAGCTGTTTGTTCACTTATTTTCTTGTAGGTGTAAAATTTCAGATGATATCCATAAATGACTGTTACATAAAAATAACCTATGTTTTGTGCTTCATTTGTGTCTTCTCAATAAATATATATGTACATAAAACTGGTTCAGGTTAAATACAGGTTTGAATTTTTGCTTTAACTGAACACTTTCAATACTAAGAAAGGTTTCTTTCTTTTTCTTTTCCCCCTTATTGTTATGCAAAAGCTTCTAAAGTTGTGAGATTTAAGAATTTTTTAGGATTCAGATTCAATGAAATTTAATAGTTTTCTACTTAGTTTAGTTCTAAAGGTAATTTATTAGTTTCTTATTCAATTTCAGATTAAGGATTTAAGTAGAAAAATTACAGATTTTGAAAAAATAATAATAGAACAGCAGAACGTCCTTGCTCTGCAAGCAGAGAGAATGAATGAACGAGATCTGAGAATAGAATTTTTGGAAAGATGTGCAATGATAGAAGAAAGGAGGAGGAATAATGGGTTGGAAGTACGTCTTAATCCACTTCCAGTACATGCTGATGCACCTGAAGTACATGCTAATCCGCCAGAAGTAGTTGCTAATCCACCAGAAGTAGTTGTTAATCCACTGGAAGTAGTACAGGCTAATCCACCAGAAGAACACTCTAATCCATCACCACCAGAAGTAGATGCAAATTTGCCAGAAGTACTTCTTAATCAATCTAGATCTCAGAAACGTAAATTAAGACCAAGACTGAGCCCGGAAAATAATAGTGGAACTTTAAAGAAAGTGAAAAAATAAATTTCTATGATGCTTTTAATGATTTAAATAAGTCTCATTGTAAATGTGTTCATTCAAAAGTATGATTTAAAGCAATAGAAAGGAAAATAAGCAGCAGTTTTGGAACATTTGTTTTATGAAATTTAAGATAAAAATTTTAAACTTTTTTGAAAGAAACATCTGCTTAAAATTGTACTTTGTATTTTCTTTGCATTTATGAAAATTTATTTCATATTTGATTAATGTGAATTTGCATAAGTGTTTAACTTTGTCAAGTTATCTGGAAAATTTTTTGTTATCATCAGTATCAGTAGTTAATGTTTTTGGAATGAAATGTATTTAAACATATAAAAAAATTGGGTTTACTAGAAGGAATTACATTTTTTGTAATTTAGGATTTTATATTATTCATTGCAGTGAATTTAATCATTTAGTAGAATTCCAAATATCTATCACTGCTGATCTGTATATTTGAAAAATCTGGATTCCTTCTCTCCAGTATACTTATTTACTGTAATAAAATGTAAGTTTTAGTTTTTATTTATTGTATTTTATTATACATATGAAAAAAGAAAGTATTTTTACTTTCATTGAGCTTTCTAATGGCCATCAATAAGCTCAACTTACATTGCTGTTACGCACTGCAGTGGGCGCAAAAGAACACAGCTCGCATTACAAATTACTGAGGGACGTTACGTGTATTTGGGAAGCTTGATCTCGGAACCGCTGAAGGTTTAAGAAAAATGGCACATATTTATAGATTAAATTAAGTAGGGAAATTATATTTTATTTGGGCACTTATGTGTTAACCCAACCATCAACCATCTTAGCGCAGTTTGATTATTTTGATTTAGCGCAGTTTGATTGCAAATGTAAAGGTTAATTTTTTGTTACAAATGTGAAGGTTAATTATTTGTTACAAATGAAAAAGTTAAAGCTACTTATCTGGTGCAGGTTGGTGAACTTTTTTTAAAGCATTGCCAAGCTATCAGTTTTTATCATAAGTTGCACCACTTTATCCACATATCAAAAGAAAACATACTTTAGCAATTTAAAATTCAAGTTGTGATTATTAAATGAGGATTATATAATACATTAAAATAATAATATATTTTTCATGACATCCATCTTTCTTTTTTTTTTTTTTTTTAGTCCAAAGGGGCTTTGTCCCTGAAGGACTATTGTTTTCGTTTTGCGATTTTGCGTCGGACTCATAAACGTCGGTTCACTTTTCAAACTGTTGCCACAAAATGTTAGAGTCCTGCATTATATTTGAAGAAATTAAATAATGAAAAATCTGCATAAATGATTGTCTATTTCTCGCATTGTGATAAAACAATGGTACATAGAGCCATCGAATTTTGAATGACGAAATCCTACTGCGAATATGGGCATCTGAAATCCCAAATTTGGAATTTGTTTTATTATAGATTTTATATTTTGTAAAACTTTAACGAATTTTTGATTTACAAACTCAATGCTTTAAAAGCGAGAAATGGCAACGTTATATAGAAAAAAAAACTTTTATCTCCAGCTCGCGAGACTGTGTATATCGGAAATTCTAAAGATATGCTTAATTTAACATTATTTTGCGATATTGCTCTTGAACTGAATTTTATGGTTTAAGTGCAAAGAACATGATATTTAATAAATAAAGGTAACACTCAAAACGTTAAAAAAAACGCCCCTTTGGACGTAATTTAAAATCTGAAACATTTCAGTTTTTTTTTTTTTTTTCCCCTGTTGTTCTCATGCACATAATGATCTGGTACAAACATTTTCCCTTTTCATACTGCATTTCTGCAGAAATTTTACTTACTCTACTTACTGTTCTGGTAGATTTAGCAAGCAAATTTAAAAGGGAATTACAGGCAAAAAATACAAGGATTTGCTTTTAAAAACCAATGGAATTTGGAATACACAAAAATGAATACATACAAAAATGGCGACATTGCTTGATTGAAGGATTATTATGAGTATAGTTGCTCAAAGAATTCTGATGAAAATGGTTGCCATATTTTGGCATACTCTGAATATTTGGTGAATCACTCACTACTAAGGTAATTGCGATAATGCATATTTTCATCCATATCCAATTTAATTAAATCAAGAAATTTTTTTAAATAATTTTGCATAATCTTAAAAACAGGAAGCATTCTTATTTTTACATTTATTACATATTTTTGCATTTATAGTGAGAACAAATTGTATGTTATGAAACAAAACAACCTGTTTCTGCATATTTGTTGGATGTTAAGGCTGCTAGACTATATATCATGCTTAATCATTCAATTTAGTCATGTTTTAAAAATTAAGAGATACAAATAATTTAATGAACAGGTTTAATTTTGCTTGGCCTAATAATAAAAACATACGGTGTGGATTATTGGAGTTTGAGATGCAGGTGATCTTAATTGACTAAAATTGAAGGGAATATGTAGAAGATGGTCAGATGATTAAAATATATCGCTTAGTAAGAAAAATTAATTTTGATTTCTACATTTCAGCATCCAGTTTGACTTAATTGAAGTTTCAACAGTTCTCTGTATTGTCAGGATAATTGGAATTCTACTCTATTGTTCATTTTGTAAATAGTTGTCTTTTTCTGTATTATTCATGCTGGTATATATACTAATGAACTCGGAAAACTTGTTACTTGTTTTGAGATATGATGTATATTTTTTTTTATTGATTTGCTTGGTAGGATTACCATATGTATGAAAGTAAGTAAATCTGCCATCCTCCCTTAATGATTAATCTGTTATATTGAGACATGACTCGAGCATTACTTATTTTAAATAAATTCATAATACAGCTAATATGCTATCATTTATTGCAGCAAAAGTATTGATTTATTTGCAAAGCAAATGCCGAATGACATTTGCTATTTAATCCATCTAATTAATTATATTGAAATTTTAAAGTAAATGAAATTAAGACTTTAATATAAAAGCATATGTTGGAGGGGGGAAACAGAACTGTGTCAAGAACTGTGTTCTAGTTTATCAACACTGATAAACTAGAAACACTTATGAAAAATTTTAGTTGTCTGCAGTTCATGCAGAGATGAAATTAAGAAGATTTAGTGTTAGTAACATAAGTTTTTCGGAACAGATTGATAATGAATTGAATGAAATGGTCTACACATTTCTGTGTATTCATTGTTCTTTCTGTCTGTTGGTTCTGTCATCTTCAAGAAGCAAAATATTGTGCAGTATATTATTAGATGTTTTCTTTATAATATAAAAGAGTGAAGAAATATGTAGTAAATGTGGCATTAGAAAGAAAATTATGAAAAGAGTAAAAAGTTATAAAATAAGATTTTTAACCTTTAGTAAGATAGAAATTCAAATTTCAAATTTTTGCCTCAAGTTAATAGTTTTTATGAATGCAGAAGGTTTTAAGCCAAATTAATTAATTAGTTGAAGAAGCTTTGTGGGTGATTTTAGGTAAGGAAAATAAAAGAGTGATTAAAAAACTAAAAATTATGTATGTCGATGGAAGCTGTATTGATTTTTCTTCTGACATAAAATGTAATTCATAGTTTAAAAATTTAAGTTACCTTAATTTGATAATAGTAGCAAAAAATGGCTTAGGACAGTAAAGCCCAAAGAATTTAGATCTAGTTCAAGACCTTTCGTAACTGAACCATGTTTTTTATTATTGAAATGAAAATAATGTGAAAGTTTTAATTGTGGAGAATCATATGCAATTTTATAACTTTTCTAAAAATGACATTATCACATTGCCAGTGAGATTACAGGGAATGTCGTTTGTGATACTTAAAAGGAACTGATTTTGTGGTAATAATCAAGCAGTTTTACATATTTTGTAAGTGAATTTTATTGCTTAAACATACTTTAGTCTGTTGTAAAAAACAGATTTATTTGTATTTTAAAAATTGTGTTAAAATATTAAATTAATAATAAGATTAAAATATTAAATTGTAGCAATTTTTTATCATTCAAAAACTATTTTTGTAATATATATGCAGTACATTTGCATAGTTCTGTAACTGAAGTTTAATGTTATAATATTTCTGACGAATTAGAATTATGCTTTTCTCCTAAGCCTTCTATCTCATTGCAAAAAATCGACCAGATTTTTTTTTTTTTGGTCCACATTATATATGGGAAGTTTAAAATAAATGCAATTAATTTACATTTGCTAATAATCTTAAAAGCACTTTAAAACAAGTGTTTTTTTCTTGACATATTATTATAAAACAAATTGTATTTAATAAATTATTTCTGATTTGTTTAAGTAGTACTTTTTAAACCATTTTTTCATATGATCTGGAATTGTTGCTCAAGATGCTTATAATGAACTTATTTGTTTTAATATTTGCTCAGCATTTCCTGGGAAAGATTTTGCTTTAAACAACTGATATACCATGCAAAAATTACTATTTAATATTTCTTTGAAGCGAGGTATGTAAGCTTTCATTAATTATTATTTTAATGTATTATTCAAAGTTTTGTTAAATGGTATACCAAAACTTTTTTGTCATATTATGTTGAACAAACCAATATATTAGGTATAATATTTAATTGTGCTAGTGTCTGAAAGATATATTAGAATGCTGTACAACAATACCACTGTTTATAAGGCATATTTAGTGAGAGGAAAAAAAGAATGGTTGAGATTTATTAGTGCTTTTTAAGTAATTCCACTGTATTAATACCACCATTTTCTTTGTTTATTTGTCTGATATCCTAAGCTTAATTGTTTTTTTGGCAGTGAAATGTTTTATGTATTTATTTTTGAACAACTGTGTTAAATGAGCTGTGCTCAGAGAGGAAGACAAATTTTAATATTAAAATCATATTGAACAACTGGCTCAAAACACTGATATTCTTTCTTCCATGTTATGATAATTATCCTCCCAGTTTGTAAATTTACAGTGAATTACTGATATTTCATATTTGATTCAAAACATATATTACATCTGAAATCTGAACATTATTCAGTTTTCTTATTTTTCACTGTGTTATTTCCCCCATTTTTTCTTTCTTTTTTATTCAATCAGTAGCTTTCACAAACATTGTCCTTTAGTGTCTTTTTTGGTAACTTTTCAGTGCTAAATTTGATGAAAGTGTTTTCTTTTTAAAGTATCATCAAAAGAAAATGATTGATTCTTTTCAGCATAGATTGTTTTATACAGAATGGGGATGTTCATCGTCTTTTTATAAAGTGGGTGTTGTTATATATTTACTGCTAGTCATGCAAGGTTGTGTTAATAATTATTGCTCTCACATAGAAGTAAATTGTATCCATATGTTGTCTTATTTGTTATATGAAATATGATTTAAAAGAGGTAATAAAAGTTGATTGTGCGTGACACTGGTATACTGATTGCCAAGCCTTTAATTATTGAATTTTATGACTATGTACCTGTTATGATTGACACTAGGGCTAAAATTATTTCCCTAGTACCACATTACAGGGTGGCGCATGGTATTAAAAAATGAATCAAAGTAAGAAAAATAAGTTTTATCTTGCTTATCTGTGCCTACCATAACTTCATTGCATTTAATTAC